TTAATATTCTGCTTTTCTGAGTTCTGAATAAATAAATTCCCGCACATATTTAAGACAGCCAGAGCCAATGCTAGACACTACACCCCACCCTGAAATTCTTCCGCAAAAGCTCCGGCACTGGTCCTATCCGTAACTGAATATCGAATCATTATTGTTTTAATTCAAATAGCACTAAATGTTATCTTTTGATCTATGAGTATCATTGAGAAAAATCTATTTTTTGCATATGGAAAGAAATTTCTCCTTATCAGCATACTCAACAGTACAGTTAGCTAAAGTCTGTAATAATCCCCAAGCATAATGGCAATGTAAAAGATTACCAAGCTCTTTGATATCTGATAATTAATATTAAAACATAAAAGTGTTTGGCTGTGTGAATCATTTATCAAGCTGCAGTGCACTGATAATGCATATGTGATGAAAGCAAAAAAATAATAAAGAACGATTTGACAGGCTGGCATCGGTACCAAAGTGAAATTGAGAATCAAGACTCTTCACATGTTTATTGTAAAAAACTATTAAACGTGCAAGCATAAAGCATGCAAGAAAAAGGTTCTGTTGATTTAGAAGTTCAGATTTCGGATCATTCTGGATACTAGACATCTGGATTTTAGACATTGTACTGTATAAGTATACTCGCTGTTTATTTAAGACAGGAGAGAAATGTGCAGGGTACAAATGCATGATTACTACAGAATGCACTCAAAATTAGCCAGCATGCATTACATTGCAAAATGTCTACAATGCAATTCTACGCGCTCACCAGTGTCGTATACGTAATTTTTAAGTAATTATTTAATTTATTTTAAAAAGTTAAAACATCATGTATTACCTGGAATGCTACCTTGCAGCCCCAAGGGGAACAAGTACCCCTGGTTGAAAACCCCTACTGTAGTACATAAGGCTTAGATTAGGCTAGCTGTTATTTAGGAATGCAAATTTCAGCTTTTCTCCTTTCTACCATATTTACTAGACCTACACTTGAAATGATACTACTATGGAAATATTACTACAGTTTTTGAAACCAAAAGAAATAATTTCGTTTGGATTCAAGAACAGTTGTCAATTTAGAATGTCATTCTGTTGAGGACTGGTTTGAAGGCTGTGACAAGATGACTTCCCTCCCCACCCCTTCCCTAGTGGAATTTGACACTAACAGATAGCTGTATGAAATTGCGACAAATTACATGAAAAACTGAGAAAGTAATTTTAGAAATTTAATTTAAAAAGTGTGTATTTTTTAATGTTTCTTATTAAAAGCTTGCAGTGAGGAAAAATTCTCGATTCACCATTGTATCTTTAAACGTTTATTCATGTCCACGTTCTTCAATACATGGTACAGTGTGGTGCATGAAAAACTGCCTGTCTCTTTTGAGTGCAGGTATATACAGTGATACACTTTTAAATAAATAAATATACATTTGCAAAGATCTGAAGTGATCTTGTACAGCAATGCAGTGTGTGCAGTAGCATGTCATACGCATGATGCAATTTTGTGACATTGTCTCACGATTTCATTATGAACACTCACCTTGAAGTCTTCTAATGTTTTTTTGGTACTATTCCGTTTTGAGGACCGTAAAAAATCGCCAAACTATTGTTGATGCTAGTGCTGCCAAAAATAATTACGGCAACCCTACGCAAGAAAGGAAGTATAATAGTAAATAACTATCTGAAATTATTGTTTTAATTTAGATGAAAGGTTAATTTCATATAATATTTTTTTGTTATTATAATTTATATAAAAAAGGCTAAACATAACTGAATGGAAGCATAAGAGTAAATAACTTTTTCAGATCATTATTATAATTTATATAAAAAAGGCTAAATATAACTGAATGGATTCCTGCATCGCTATTTCACTACCGAGTTATTGCTAAAGCATAATTTCATCTCGTTTGGTTGTTCGAACATAATTTTCTAAAATGAATGATGCCTTTTCTTTGGAAATATTCTATTGCAGACTTTTCGCCATGTGCAATTTCCAAATTGATAAATCCGTAGGATATCAAAAAAGGATTTAATAATTAAACTAGTATTTCAATGGCGTCTTAAGATATATAGAACTGTCTAAACTTACGCAATTTGAAATCAGCACATACGCTAGATTTAGCTTGCTGTTAAATGGGCACATTTGCTAGATTTGGAGCTTTTGCGCATACATTTTCGCTGCAATTTTTTTAAGGTCCTCAAAACGGAATAGTACCGTTTTTTTATCCTCTGCTTTTCAAACTACCCCACAGATAAAAGTCACAGGTGGATTTGCCCAAAGATATTCATATGTGCATCAGTGCTCACCATTGTCTTAAAAAATATGGAACTCACAATCTTAGATGGAAGACTGCAGTATACCGTAACTTTTTTAGGTACTTTTCCGTTTTGCCGGCGCAGGCGTTAAAAGTCGCCAATAATGGTACAATCGATGCCAAACATAATATCTTCGCTGGTAACCTTTAATGCCCCATTTTCAAAACAATTGGCAGCCCTTTCTTGTCAGATTGATTGTTTCTTTCAATACTGGCATACAATTACATAGAAATTTTACCAGATAGTTCAATTTTATACCGTAAGGCCATTCGTGGTAATTAAGTCAATTAAGATGCAATCACCCCTCTCACCCAAAGGCGAAAATATAGAAAAGGCAAAGTCAAGGGTTAAATTCATCAATTCTAATGAGAATGCACTAGCAAAGTAAAGCACTACGCTTTTACATAATTTCTGAGCAAAGCTATTCATACGAACTGAAATAATTCTTGCATTTAAACTTATATTCCAAATTAAGATTTAACTTAAAATTAATGTAGATAATTACTGAAAGAAATAGATTTTGTAGCATGGTTTACATGAGATCAGATCACTTGGGGTCAGGTGATATGAAAAGGCGAATTAGAATGTTGAACCCTGAAAGCATAGTAAGTTCTTAAATTAATGTCTTTTTACAAATTTATTGTCTTTATTTATTGGCTTTTTACAAAATTTTAAATGATATTAAAATGTTTATGCCTTCAAAATAAAAAAATTCTTAGAACTAAAATTTGTTAACATTTTTTATGTGTACACTATGTGTTGTTACCAATAAAGTCTGCTTGGTGAGATTTGCGCCGGCGAAACGGTAAAGTACCCTTATTTATGAGGGAAAAGTTCCTGATAAAACATATAAAGATTGTTTGCTGGAGTCTAGGAGTGAAACCTGTCTTTAGTCTTTCATGAAACACAATAGTATGTGTAGCAATTCTCTCATAATTGAAGTACTTACGTGCAGTAGTGCACACATTTTCTCTTGTTTTCTTCTCTCAGTAGTTAGACACATATTATTCTGTAGGTCATCATCTGTAGGTTGTATAAAATTCATTGTCAACATCCTTGATTATGGCAATTATACAAATAGACAGGACTCTATTCTTTTTCACACTTCCAAGTGACCACCCGAGCACCATGTTTTTACTGAATCTCGAATACTTCTTTTTCTAGGAGGCCAACATTAGCAAACTTCTTTGTAAAAATATCGCACATTTCCTTAATGGAACCGATACTCATGTCCACCTCTACTGTTGGAATTCTTTGTTGAAGAGACTGTGTCTCGCTGAACTCTTTCACATGTCTTCATGGATTTCACACTGACAATGGGATAGTCTACAAGAATTGAGCAATGAAATTGGTGACAAAAGTTAGTCTCACTATGAACTTGTGCTTACCAATTTCGTGTGCGCATTGTAGCATCTGTCTGTATACTCATATAGGCTAATTTTTGTGTGCCACATTGTTTAAATTGATGCTAATAAATTTAAAAGCTCATTCAAACTGAATAGCAAAACTTCTCTCTCTCTGTAATTCTTCCCTTTAAACTTCCAGCACGCGCGTTGGCAGCTTGGCAGTTTTACATGAGCATGCGCGCATCGTATTTTTTATGACATCCATTATTTTACCGTTTTTGGCATGAAAAATGATAGAAATGAGTGAATATTGATAATATATTTGTTAAGAAATAAAATAGTAATTGCAAAATACAAATGATATTACATTCAAATATAAGTAAATTATTTTTATGTTGGGGAGGTGGAAATGCAATGATGTATTTCATTATAGAAAATTTTAAATTTAATATTTAATAATTATATTTTAAAATTGAAGCTAATTTTAATATTCATCAAAGACAAGTATAGACAATAAAAAAGGAAAACACCATGGTAGGAAAAAAAGTAAGTTTAACATTACTTACTTCTGCAAGGAAATTTACTTCTTATTGGTTACAAGAATGTACTTTGAACTATTTTTAATGTTTTTATTTATTTCAAAAAAGTAGAAATAAAAGAAAATAAGGAATGAAAATCGCTATTGTTCTTCCATCCAAAGGTTTCTTTGTCTTCCTTTTCTTCATCAGATAATTCTTGAAGAATCCGAGCAAAATCAGCTGGTTGCACATATTTTTTTTGCCATGAAAACTGATATAAAATTTACAGAGCCATATGTATTCAAATTAAAATAATACATGGCAATTAATAACACAAAACTACAAAATATTTGAGAAAAAAATTATTTTCCGAATTTTAAAACACGACCACATGTGTGTCGAAACTCTTATGAAAAAGCTGCCACGTAGCACAAAAGCCCAGTTAAAAAAAAAACTTTGAATGACTTCCTCTTGGCACATTCCATGATGTGGGGAAGGGTAGAAAGGAGAAATAGACCTCTTGGCACATTCCATGATGTGGGGAAGGGTAGAAAGGAGAAATAGAAATGACCTTTAGAGGTCTCAGCTTCGGTATGTAAAAAATGTGCATTAAAAACTGAATTTGTCGTAAATTTTGCGCATACGCATGTGCTAGAAGGTTAATGACACATCGTAATTTTATAACATAGGACTGGCACCTTTTTATGTGTAGAGTATGTTAAACTTCCTGAATAAATATGTGTTCTTTTTGTGTGCGTATTTTAAAATGTCAGTATACAGTTGAGCTTTATTTGCCTAAAATTTTTGTTTATCTTTTTTCAAAATCTAGGCCTTTAAATAATATTGAACGTAAACAGTTCTGTACATCAGTGGTGGAAGTTATACCAGAAAAAAAAGAAATTGTAGTAAAGGACAGAAATTCAACTAGAGAATTCTTTTTTGACAAGGTATTTCCTCCTGATACAAAACAAGTAAGTTGATTCTTTGAAATTCTATTCTTTGTGTTTTAGCATTCTGGCAAGATGTAGCTATCCAAATTATTTGTAGAGTCTTTCATAGTCTTATATCTTTCTTGTAAGCTATATTGTAGTTTAATAATAGCACAGCTGAAACTTAATTGAAATTCAAACCAGTTTTATTCTATTTAATCTTGTAATCTCAAATTCAATTTGATTAAATGTTATTTTTTATAGTGCTTATTATGCAGTATAATTAAACACTGTACTTACAATTAATTTTAAATCATGTATATTTGCATCAAGGTGACTCAAAATTTGGTACCTTCTGATTATCTGCTTCTCTCCCTGAAAAATTGCCAACTCATTTTCGATTAGTTTTTCACCAAACTTTTAAGTGAAGAGCAATGGTCTTTTGAAAATGGCAGAACACAGGATTCTATAAAAGAACAACAAATCAATAAAATTTAAGAAGAATCTATAATAAAACGCTTCAAGAAATTCTTATATACCATAATTTCCGGAAGAAACATCACAGCATTTACATGTTTAAAACTTAAATTTTCAGTGGGTGCGGCGCTTACGTGCACTTAAAAAAATATTTTATAAGATGTCATTGTACATAGCTTGGATGACCTTGGTGATCTTCCCACACAAAAGAACACTCATTTGCTTTCTGAGAACTTTATTTTGTTTACAATTTTTCCCTTGAATGGACCTGCCTTATTTACTCTAAACAAGATCTTGGAACAATGACATTCTTTCAAATGAGGAGTCTCATCAGTTTGAATAATCTTCCAGAACCCATTATCTCACTGGCTCTCCCCTTTCCATCATAAATCAGTTGTATTTTCAAATGTGGATATGATTTTACATGTGTTGCAATAACGAACTCCAATATGTTCCCCATTCAGCACGAATCAATTCTTCTTAGCATTCTTCCAGATACAGATCCTGTCAACTTTGGTATGATACTTGTTGCATAATTTCTAAGTAAGAAGGAAGCGGGGAAATTTTTGAAAATGGCACCTGAACGGTACTGAAGATGTACTACTAATTTTAGCAGTATATCTTCTGTATCTGTATTTTGGAAATAGAGCAGCAGCTCGAGAATTTGAATTGCACGAGAGATGCATTTGATGTTGGAGGACTGAAAAAGAACTTTAAAATTTGCCACAACAGAAACGAGCCAAAAGAAGTAATACTGTATGGTGGCCAAATCTAGAGAACGACCTTGCAAATGGGATAAAGGAGCAACGAGGAAAAAGAATGGCAATTTCGGCTATATTGCTAGCAAGCAAAATTTATAGTGAAGTAAACGTAAATGGCTTCAAAGGAGGGCTTTGCTTGTTTAGCAGATTCAGAAAAATAAATAATATTTCTGTGCGTACTAGAACAACGGTCGGGAAACAATTACCAACAGACTGGCAGCATAAAAAAGCATCTTTTCATAAAATATTTGCCAGATATTATTGACAAGAGAAAACTTCTTCCATCACAGATAATAAATATGGATAAAACGGCTTTAGCTTTTGACTCTCTTGCAAATACGTAGCAAAATACTTAGAGCATATTATGAAGAAATTGCAAAGAAAATATTGTGAATAACTGCAGGGTTCAAAGAAGCTGGAATTATATCCCTAGATAAAGAGACAGTAAACCAAGAGGATGAATGTAATGATATGAAAGACTTGGATCGTGGACATCTTCATGGTTTGCTAAATCGTTTTAATTCAGATAGTGAAGAATCAGATTTTAATGGTGTCATTTGATGTACAGGTTGCTGTAATTCTTTTTGTAAGGAAAAATAAAATTCAAAATTTTCTTCTGTCATTCAATTTAATGTCTCGTTATTGTGATATTTTTTATAACTTAGTATGAGTATTGCATGCATGGACTTCTTTAGAGGGTAAATATATTAGAATATAATTAAAGAAAATAATTCTTTAGTGGGTAAATATATTAGAATATAGTTAAAGAAAATAATTCTTTAGTGGGTAAATATAAATTCATACTAAGTACATTTGGGAACGTTCATTATGGATATTTGCTTTATGTAATTTTTACTAGTTCATTATGTATGTTTCTTGCATTTTTAGTTTCATTAATTGGTTGCTATTTTATGTAATTTTCAGCACACCGCTATTTTTTTTAAAAGGCTACTGAGTTTCTTGTGTTAACTTGGTGAAAAAGTAACCGCCAACAACTGGGAAATTTGTGGGATGGTTGGGAAAATAATACAATCGAACCAAACAAGTGCATATACGCATTGTATCATTTTTGAAGTCAACTTATGGAAAATTCAAAGGTCGGCAATGTTTATTTGTCTTATGTAAATTTCTACAGCTCTTTTACATTTTTCATCTAGTAGATCTGCTGAGAAATTAAGCAGAAGCAAATGCATTGTTTTCAAGCGTATGATTTTTCTTTCAAAATTATGACTGTTCCAGTTCTTTCATAATGAAATTGTACACAACAGAAGATATACAGTGGAACTGTTGTGCCAACAGAATTTTAGAATAAGAGCTGGAAACTGATTCAAGAGAAGTCACTTGCCTTTTTATTTTAGTAGAATTCACATGGAGGCTCATAATCAGATGTAATTCTGAATTCGACTGCCAAATAAGGCTTGCCAAGAATTAAAAATTGTGTTTTGTTGATCTGCTGATGTCAAAAAAAAAAAAAAAAAAAAAAAAAAAAAAAGGTGTGAATAGCTTGTTGACGATGGTTGGCAGGTGCTAATTAGTATACAATATCTGTTAACCATTGGGTCAAGGTAATCTCATAATACTAAAAAGCTGCAAGCATAAATGTCTTTCATTTGTACTTTTATTTATGAAGTAAGGATGAAATATAATAGAAAAGTTAAAAGAAAATAACTCACAGTATTCTGTGAGGTAGACTGCCAAATCTCAGGATAATCATTGGACCTATAATCATTATTCTTTCCTGTGAAAAATTAGTCTTAACAGAGTATGGAAGAGAAAGAAAATTCTGGACTAGTAGCTGCAAGCAGTATTTTAATTCTGGGCAAAGTAGTATTAGTAGTTAGGAATTCTAAGCTGCAAGGAAATTGCTGATGTTGATGAGTGAATGACGCAAGATAAACATGATCACTTTCTAGAAGACACTGAAACTGTTGCATTGACAGAAGAAACACGAAGAATCAGAAGCTGTTTAAGTGAAAGATGAGGAAGAAGTTTTAAGGGGGGCTCACACTGAAGGTCACTGAAAAATAATGCAGAAGCGTTATTTGTAAGAACTTTTATATTTGCCAATTTTTTACTGCATCATTTGATGTAGCAGCATGGAAAAGGAATAATTGTTATGAGAGCATGAAGAAAGAATAAGTATTGCCAGATTTTCTTTCGAGAAGGTCTTATTATTTTGTCTTTAGGTCTCTAGTGTTTTCTATGCTTTTTTCATAGCACAATATTTTTTGCTAGCTTATATATTTTTTTTCGCTCTTTATGCATTAAAGGTATTTAACAGATGAATATTTAGCAGTGTATTATGAGTTCTATGCAGTTTTAATAGATCAGTTTGTACCAGAATATTACAAAATGTCCAGCTTGGATTCCATAAAACTTAATTTTGGTTATTCTGTATAAAACCATAGTTAATGTTACACTTTTGACTAGTTTCAATAGTAGAAAATTAGCATTAATTTTAATAAAAATAGTTAAAAATTTTTGGTAACACAGGGAAGAATGACACCTCAAGTAACTCTGAGGGGAAAAAATATTATTTGGGATAATTTTTTTTATTTTTAGCAATTAAGTATTTCTATTTTCTTTAGCTGCAATAGAAGAAGCATTAGCTTCTTGTATATTTAAACTAGTCAGTCATAAGGCATTTTTAAAAGACAAGAAGTGTATAAAGATAAAATCAACATCGTAACTTATTCTTAAACCATACGTACATCTCGTAACAGATTATCATACTGCTAAGTACCTATCTTTATCTTTTAAAATGTGAATAGAACGACAACTAGAGCTAGCTGTTGCCATTTCTCAGTAGATTTTCTGTCTATTTACAATAAATAATTTACAGTCCTGCTTATTGAAGGTAATTACATTCAGTATCTGAAAGTACTTCTATTAAAATGAGCTTTGCACCCCCCAAATTTTTTTTTAGTTTCCACTCATTTGTCAACTCTATTGCCAGTGTTATAATAATGTTATCTTGCGCAATTTTACTGTCAAGTTGTGAAGTAATATTCAACCAGAACCCTGTAGTCTTCTCATAAAATATGTATATTGGTGGTTTTGACACCTGTACATTTACAAATCAGGATCAGTTGTAAGTTTTCTTAAACAAAACATTACATGTGACAAATCCACTTTATATGAACTGAAAAAAAATTCCAACATACAATGGAAAATATTCTGTTTTAATGCAAGTGCCAAAAATTGTGAAAGATTGTTAGTCAGAATTGTGTAGTTGTTGATAATATTCGCAACTATGACTTGCCTGGTAGGGAAAAATTTAACTATCCTCAAAATTTCACTAAGTGATAATAGATTCCTTCCTATTGTAGCATTATTGATCTTATTTTAATTAAGGCTTCTTTTAGTATCTCTATCATAAATTGCAAGGAAAGATCACTTATAAACTAAAATTTGTTTTGAAATTAAAGAAAAACTTTCTAAAAGTTTGGCATTTAAACTAAATCTTTAATCTGCTGATTACGTACTCCCACCCCCATTTTTTTTTTTTTTTTTTTTTTTTTTCAAAATTATTTTCAAGATCAGTTAGTTTTTTGGGGGTGGGGCTGAGAGTTAAGTTTTTTGCTTTAGCTTATGCCTTATATTTGTGTATGTAATGGGAGACACAAAACTTCTTTTTGCTTCTCCCCTTCTTTTTTTAAAGTTAATATGGGTTTACAACTGGTTCCTTATAACTTATATGACAGTTATTTTACTTTTCTTTCTCAGTATACATACATAAAAATTTTATTGAAATTGTTTAATCAAGATATATTTACATTAAAGCTTTATATCAGCAAACTATGCATTAATTTTATAGATATCTGTGTACAAAGCTGTTGTTGGACCACTGATTCAGGAAGTTCTGATGGGTTATAATTGTACTGTTTTTGCGTAAGTAATGTTTATTTGAATTTGCAATACTTTTCTGTTATGCACTTACCATGTACTTAGATGGGTTTTTAATTGTAAACACACACACGGTTTGGTCCTCAGATCGTGCTTCATAGAGTATCAGAGAGTATCATTCACAGGCACATATGTGTATATAAAGCCAAACTAAAACATGTGGCAGGGCATCAGAAATTATATGCAAAGGATTTCTAGACAAATTTTTGATTTTCCAATTTAGATATTACATTGGTGCTATTAGTAGATATTGTTAGATAAAGCTGATGCTAAAGCAAAGTTTAAAGTTTAAAGAAATTAAACATTTAGCAGTAGTAGCAATAAAAGCTCCCCTGAGATATGTTGTGCAGACATTGAAGACAATAAAAGATTTTGAACTTAACCAATTTACTAACAATATAATAAAGAATAAAAACACAGAAAATAAATTTCAACAATATCAGAGTCTTAGGAAAAATATAATATAACCATCATTCATCAAATAATATTTTTACCTGGTCTCCAAAACACTGGCATTCAATACAAATAAAATGTCCTAAACAGTAATTAAGCGGCCTCAAAATAAAGTTGGCTACATATTCAATAAGTTCATGATCAATGGTCAAGAAAAACACCTGAAAATTTAAATGAAGTTCTTGAAAACACTTAAAACCGGCCTAACTCCGTTTGCACGAGGAATCGCCGCTCACGTGTTTTAAATTGCCGCCTTCATTGAAGAACATGGATGCCGCCCACGGCAGTCACTCACATGGTAGCCTCTGGAACCAAGGAACTTTATTCAGGAACAGCCATCCCGCAAATCGGAACCAAGGCACTTTATTCACCGGACTGCATGCATCCTTCTGTAGGGGCTGAAAACCGCCCACTCAAGTGCCAGGAAAGCAGGAACTAGAAGGGGGAGAACTAGAAGCGACGTGGGATACTTATAGCAGAAGTAGGAATGACGTCATCTTACGGCAACCAATCAGCTATCGGCACGAATCGGCTTTTCAGATGACGTAACATCACGTTTCGTTTTTGCATCTCGATTAGGTTGAAACAGTCCGTTCTCAATGCAAACAGTGGCAGCAAGAAAAAAAAGTAGAAGTAACTACTATATTACTTTAAAATAAGAACTAAACTAAATAAACATTTCAAGGAGGAGAGATGATGCAGTAAAAGGTTTACAATAAACTATATTTTCCAACAAAAGCCATAAGGCTTTGTGAAAGAACCAAAAGCAACAAATGTATACTTGCAATTTTTATGAGTACCGTAATTTCGCACGTATAGTCCGCATACACGATGTTATATAAAAAAATTTCAAAAATCGTCAGATAGTCCGCGGACTTTACGTCCGAAATTACGTTTTTTTAATACGGCAATATTCCTATGCTTTTTAAATACATCTTTTTGTTTGCACCAATTTCTCACCGCTTTCTCGTCCACTTCAAAATAACGGGGTAAAATCCTAGTATACGGTGCAGCCTTGGCGTGACTTTGAAAATTATCACCAACACCAAAAATGATCCAAAGATCGTCTATATATATACTATACACCCATAGTATATGTATATACGCACATAGTATATATACTATATACATAGTATATACTATGTTTAACTATATATTTTCTTTGAATGACCCGTTAACTACACATCGTATATGTCCCGTTTTCACTGCTCATCATAAATTCGCCAAAAGTAGCCAAATCCCGGGTGCACCGGATACTAGGATTAAATCAATAACAGCCTGCTTCTCTATTTCCATTTTTTTCAGCTTTCTCAACTACCTTGAGTTTAACTCAGCAGTAAAACTCCGGCGATGTTCATCAACGTTATCGAAGATGAAAGACAAAATACTGTGCAACGTGCTATCCTCATGATAAGTGGGTAATGAAATGTGACCTTCGGCCCCACTCACTCGGTGTTGCCAAACCACGCTATAAGTAAATGAATCACGCTTTTTTTCCGTACTACAGGTACTTGCTACTATGGCTCCTGAAAATCGAGCTGACGCATCAACTACTTTCCCCCTTCCCAGCAGTTGCGTTAAGTGAGTGCTCATACAAGACTTTCTTTGGCTCATATCCCGGCATCGCTTGATGCGCCAGCCTGGATTTTAGGAGCTCTACTTGCTACTACTCATTCGTTCTGCACTATGCTCTATGGTGCACTATGCTCTATGCTCTATGGTTTACTATCGATACGATATATACGAATGTTTTCTTGGAATCTCTTGCATTTTTTATATTTGATCATCGGCAGTTCACGACAGCGCGTTTTTTAAATTTCAACGATTTTAACCGTGAACAACCAGCGTATTGGTGGATAGTCCGCAGCTTCAAAAATTCGCATTTTAAACACAGATAGTTGGTGGACTATACGTGCGAAATTACGGTACTTTGGAGTGGTCCTAAATTATCTTTGTGACGCGTATGAAATGGTACATCTTGTTTGGGTATAGCATACTTTCTTGTTTTCCTCATTTATATTTAATTAACGCGAGGGACAAGTTTAATTAATACAAGTTTGCAATATAGTTACAATTTTGTCTTTATGTTTAGGTATATAAAATTAGTGTTTGATGAGTACTTCAGTTCATTTAGAAGCGAAATGTTCACAAAGATCTGCATCCTTAATTATATTGGTTTGCACTGATTTTGGAACAACAAGTAATTCATTACCATCTTCAAATTTAACACAATTTTATTAGATCTAACACAATAATAATCATGAGTCATCATAACATTTAAGACTTCTTTGAATATTTGAATGGATCATCTTGCTCTTGAGCATTTTTGTATTTTCAAAATGAGGCTATCTTGAGTAATGACCATCACAGGGATCTGTTCAGTGTACCAATATGTGTGAATCATTTTCCCTTTCGGTATTTTATTTTGCAGTTGAAATCTTCTATCGTTGCCTAATGTGCTATTTGTCTTCATAGTCATTTTGAAACTATGAAGACAAATAGCACGTGCTTTCGTCTTCATAGTCATTTTGAAAGTGTTAGAGTCAGTAATAATTTTAAAGTGTTTGCATAAAAGATAAACTCTAAATTTTTCAAAACTTAAATTATAGCTAATGTTTCAAGTTCATATCTTGAATTACAGTTAATATCTCAAGCTTCAGCATCACATCTTTTGTTCATGTAATAAACAGAATGTAGGCAATTATCAGTTATAAATCTTTGCATAAGAATACAACCATAATTATAGGTACTGGCATCAGTGTGTACTTCAGTATCACTGTCCTGATTATAGATGCTAATTATGGGTTTTTAACACAAACATTTCAAAAGATTAGATTTTCATTCATTGTCACCAAAGTGAAAGTCATTACCTTTCTTAAGGAGATCAGGTAATAGTTGAGCAATCATGGAAAAATTTAGAGTAAATTTACGAAAATATCCGACGAGACCAAGGAAGCTTTATAAATCTTAGTAACTTTTTAGGTTCAGGATGATTTGATAACAGCAGCTGCTTCAAGGGAAGATGGGAACAGTTAACCATTTTCAATGGCATAACCTAGGAATTCAGTTCTGCGATATAAAGATTTAGATTGGCGACTATTGCATCAAATGGTATTATATTACTGTCTACAACATAAATATTAGTCATAAATAATTCTGTATCTATTAAAATGTCACTTGTAAAATAACCGATTGGTTTACTTTGTCATTACTGAAGCCAGTCAACATATTATGAAACACACTTAAAGAAGAATTTCCTATTTGTTTATAAATTTCATTAGAGATAAGCGTACCTTCACTTCCCACTTCAGTTATAGCTGTAAGAGATATATCATTAATTTTGATTACTTTATGTAGTAAGTTTGGTGTGTTAAATTTGATTAATGTGACAGTATTAGTTTTTGAGATGTTAGAATTCCCCCTCCCATAAGATAAACTTGTGGGTCTGAAATATTTGTGGGAGCAAAATTTATATAAATAACAAAATCCAATTATAACATTTGGATATCTGGTAGTTATTGGAATTTGCTGAGAAATTTTTCCTGTCACATAAAGCTAAAAATGTTGATTCTTGACACTCAATCTCACATTTTAAAAAAGAAATAAGATCAGAAATTCTAACAACATATTTTGAACGTATGTTTCGCTTAAAATCCTAAGCAAAGTTTACTGGCAATTAAATTTAGAACAATTGAAATCAAATGTGGACCATAGAATTTTGAATCCTCTTGCATTTCATCTAAATTTTGTATAGCAATAACGGGCTCATCAAGTAACTTATTCAAAGTTGTAATATTTGAAAAAGTTTTAACCTTTTGCAAGTTTAAAATTTTACTCATAAGAGAATTAATGATATCTTTATGACCAAAATAATTTTTGGTACTTTTCTGTTATCAGGACCAGATTCAGAAATCTGTGCATCTATATATGTAAGAATAAATGTATGTATATATATCACTCACTTCTGAATCTGGTCCCAATAACATAACAGTACCGAATTTTTAAGTAACTTTACACAGTCTTAATTTTTATCAGTTGATTGAAAACCAGGTACATTTAACACTCCTCCAGTTAAGTATGTTTTTACATAGGCAACTTTTTCAATTTTCCAAAGTGAATCATTTCGCTTGATAGTGCTTTCAAATGAATTTCAAAATTCATTCCGATATTTAGGGTCTCTTGAGTACAGTTCAGTTTTTCAATTAAAACCTCTAGATATTCCTCTAAGATATCACATGCAACATTTTCGTCTGTTAAAGCAACATTAATTCCTGAAATTAGTTAAATAGTAGTATTACTTCTTTCAACACTACATTTGTGTTTTAATTTTCCAAAATTTTCTTCAGAAGCCATGTTTTATATTTTAAAGAATTATACCTTCAAAGCGAAAGTTATAAATATAAAATGCTCACCTGCAGTCCTCTTGAAAATACAGTAGAAATCCACAAAGCTTGGAACCAGAGATTGCGGATTTCATGATAAAAAAGATAAATCATAATATTCAGGCTAAAAGTGCAAAATAAATAAAGCAT